GAAAATTTCTAAATTACTGCAGATTTTAGTAGTTGAACACTCTGAAACTCTTATGGAGATACCACTGAACAGTATTTGAACATAGAGACACAGAAGAGTTATTCTACGTTTGACTTGCTTTAAAGTAGATCCACCTGCCACCAACTAATAGAAACTCCTTAACATGTACAGGTTGTACTGAAAAAGCAATTTTTTTTCTCAGAATCCATTCTCCTGGAATGAACAATATTCTCAACTTGTCATTGACACTGCCTCTGAGAGCATGTTCAATCAGCAAGAACACATTTGTTTTTGTTGTGTTTAATAAGAGACTCTGCATGGCATGTTACAGAACAGCTTCTAGTAGCTCTGGAAGGCAGAACAGCATTGCTTATTGTCTCACTTTTGTGTAAGGTAAGCTGGAAAACATTCAGGCTGTAGGGATCTTCAGTGTAAGATGTGATAACAGCCTTAGCTTTCTCTCCATTCTACAACAGGGTAGCGCGGTACACAATAATAGGCACAAAGCTAGCAATCATGATATGATTCAACAAAGTTGGCAAAAATAAAAGACTACTTTTAAAAGAAATTGCAGTATTGCTTAAGTCAGAGTGAATCTGTTGAAATACAAACCTGGGTATTTTTCATTTTACTTTGATAAAAGAGCAATATATATCTTTCAAAAAGCAGCATCCTGTGTAAACTAAGATTTAAACTTAACATTATTCCTAGTCATGCAGGAAGTCCAGAAGAAAAAGAACTATGGATAATCAGTTAAAAGAACTGACAGATACCCTGATGTGTTGATCAGTAGTAATACCTAATTTCTATTTCAAGTGTGCTATAATGGATTACCATATAGATGCAGCAAAGCACTAAGCATTAAATAGATCTGTGTGTTTTCTGAAAAAGCAATATTATTTTGCACTGTGGGGTTTCTTAAAATATTTCTTATTAGTGTACTGTGAAACTAGAAACAAGATGTCAATAGCCAGTTTGGATTCACAGCGGTATTGTTAGAAGTCTAGGCTGGAGTGGAAGAAACTATCATTTGTTTTATAGGAATAGCAATATGTGTTTTTTAGAACACCAGGGGTTGGGAGGGTGTAGAAAATGTTCTTGGAAATGCTAAGTTGAAAGGACAACAACTGAAGCTTGTTCATGACTTATGCAATCATGTCACACAGTAACACCATCTTAGTCTGGGGACATTAATGCACACGTGAAAATTACTAGTTAAAAGGCATTCTAACTGTAACTTTGAATTAACTTGTCACATTCCGAAGTTTTTATTTACTAGTGTAGACTTTTAACCATGATAACTTTTTTTTTTTATTGTAGGAGCAAATCTGGACTCTGAATTTAGATTATTTATACTCATTCTAATCTGCTGCAAAGCTTTCATATCTTCACTAGGTAGCTGTGATGCTAGCAATCTAATTTGCTTTAAAAAAAATTACTTCTGTTTACTGTGTGGTGGTACTATGAAGGTGATTAATCACATCTTTGCATTTTTTCAAAGCGCATTCATATTTTTTCCCCTGTTTTTGAGATGCTGAAAAGAATTGCATGAGAAATTACTTAAGTATCTCAATTTTTGCTACATGAAAAGATTTTGGGATATGGAAGCTTTCTTCAGATAGGAACTTCTGTCCTCTTCTTATTTCAGCCCTTGAATTTTTTTTGATTCAGTCACCTGACAAGGTTGTTTGATTCTGTGTTTTTTTTTAAAGAAGAAAACCTGTAAGCATGTTCCTTCTTCCCCCAGCTTTATGCAATTTAAAGTTTAAGCTTGCTTTTCCTGGTGGTGGTTGTATTCTACAGCAGCATTTGTTTTCCAGGTTTTCTCCGGGCATAACCTAAAATTCACTAACAGTTGGATGTAAGAGTTGTTATCAAGTTCTTTTTCAAAATGGGTCTTTATTATGCAGCTCTGCCACCTTATTAGCTTATGCATCTTACACCTTATCATAGTTTACTTTCTGGGCGTGAACTTTGTGTTCAAGTTTAGGTGAAACTGTGTAAAATATACTGCCTTTACTGCATGACATCATGCCTCTGGCCTTTCTCAAATCACGGTTAACGTGCTTTGCATCTTGCAGAGAGGGCACAGTAAACCCAAGTTCTTTCAATGCGCTATTGTGTTTTGAAAAAACTAACAAGTGGTGGTTGTTTATTTTGATCCTGAATCAATTGGGGTGTGTAAACTGTAAAATTACTCTAAGAACATTGCTGAAGCTCTTGGGAAATATGTATTGTTTCTTTTGGCAACTAAGGAAAATTTATTTGTATGTCCTCAGATTACTTTCACAAACTTTCATTCATAATACATGAGTGTGCCATGCCTGGTGTTTAAGTATACATAAGACTTTTAGTGAAGTAGACATATATTTTCTAAATATTTGTTTTACAGTAAAGAATTTTACTGTATCATCTGAAATATACTCAGAGAGGCATTTTCACTAGTAGTATTATGGGATTTTGACAAATTTCTAATAAAACATTCTGATACAGAAGTGGTGCCTGATTTTTTTTGACGTTTAATACAATTGATTCTCAAAAGTTACTGTTTTGAAACAAATGAGACAGAATCTACATTTACAAGCTGGAGGTATCTCGTTAGTATGGCCTGTAGAAGGAAATTGGTTTTGCTCTAACGATCTACTGTCCTACTTACAATGACTTAAACAATGGAAACGAAATGCATTTGGTTTTGTCTGGTTTTCCATAATAAACATGACGATGTTTGAAGGTTCCTCCATGCAGTGTATTCTGATACTTGAATTCAGACCAATTTTTGTTGCCAGTTTGTCTTAGGGTTTTGTTTAATGGAGCCTCTCCTCGTGCGATTGGGGTATGCAGTATGGAATCAGTCTAACATGTGCCTGGATACAGTGATCCAGACTTGAAATATTCATGATTTACATTAGAAGCTCCTTTCTGCCCTGTGCCAAATTAGGTCAAGATGAATGTCAGAAATAGTCTTGAAAAGTGGTGGGCTGCTATAATTTAATATTTATATGGATAATGATAATTCTTTGTCTGTGGATCCTGCAATCTGATTGGCAGAAACGTGGTCCTTAACTAACAGGTAAAGCCCAAATGTGAATCATGGCCTCATTTTTAGCCAGTCAGATCCTTCATCCCAAGCGCGTTCCTCCTGCCCATGGACGGGGAGCTAGACCTCTGGCCACCAGCCACCCACTCCTTTGGTCCCTAATACCGTAATACCGTGGTGTCCTGGGGAAGGACTGTGGAAGGAATACTGAAAAAAAATACAAAGAGAACATAGAAGGGATGTGCCTGATTTATGTTTTTAGTCTAGGTAAACTTTTAGAGATACTCTTCGGGGAGCACGTGCTATGGTAAAGATGTGAAGGAAGACCAGTCTGTGTGACCTGAGGTCTAGTTCCCTAAGTCTGTGAACTTGTCATGACTTCCATCTTCTGCCATGGAGAAAGGAATGTTCCATTTTCAAAAATACTCTATTTTGAGTTTTGTATATTATTTCTGAAGCACTTTTTTTGTCAAAAATTTAAAAAAGTCTGTCTTACTCCATCTCTTGAGCATACTGTTTTTAACAGCAATAATGATTCATGTGTTGGCCATCTCTGAAGGATTGCCTAAAATGCCAATTCTTGCTTTCTTGGCTGTGATGATTTATTTCCTCTTGTGAGCTTTTATGTGCAAAAGACCAACAAATGGGTCACCGTTGCTTAAATGACTTGTCATTCATTTTGCATCCTGCATGTAGTATTTCTGAAAACTTAATGGCGCTTTGTTGTGCAGAAGTTCGTTCCAGTGATTTTGTTTGATAATTACAAGGAACTCTGTTAGTCATGTATAACATTGTTTAATTTTATTTCCAAAAGTAAGTGTTGAAAGCTAGTTTCCCATTTAAATATATCTTCTTAATTTCATATTTCAATGTCTGAAAAGTTGTAAGATCCAGACACATCTTTCTGTGAAAAATGAAACCATGAAACCACTTTTTTGGGGAGGCCGAGTGGCAGTAAGTTACCTGTCCTGTACTACTAATACACCTACTTGCTGAGCCCTAGCCTGTACTGCCAGTAGTTGAAAAAACAAGAAAAAAAGGCAGGAAAAAAGCTGTCTTGGAGCCTGTTAACTTAAAGTCCTTTTAAAAGTTTTACCCAAGTAAGACCTTGAATAGATTTGATTTATTCAGATAGCATTACCATCCACTAAACTGACAAAGTACAGCATTTGATAGTCCCAACTGTTCTTTGCAACTAAGATTATAAGACTGCATTCGGGAAAGCACTTAAGCCTATGCTTATATTGCTTTGCTTTGTTGGCGCCCTGTAGCGTAACAAAACCAAGGGGGAATGGGTTTGACCACAACCTCTTCCTTTGATCTGCCTCTGTTAGGATCAGTCCAAAAGTACAGAGGCAGGCCACTACATATTATTCCACATAAGTGCTTTATTAACTGCATGTGCTGTGGATTAAATTGGTTTAGCTTTGTTTAATTTGGCTCAGTTTCACTTACCAGCTGAAAACACAGGTAAATAATCTCAAAAAAATAACTGCACCACTGTTCATATCTGCCTCAGCTGGGAGATCAGACTCCATTAGTTGCTTGAAAAGACAGATCTAAGCCGCAGAAGCTCAAAATCTGGACTGTATCAATATAACATTAGTCATTACCAGACACTTCAGAAAAATGTAACCCAAAGTGAGCTGCTTAGAAATCTGTAACTTCTTCATTCGAAATCAGTTTATATTCTGGAATACTAGGGTTTTGCAAGACAGTGGGAAAGGAAAGGTGGTTCATGACAGTGTCATGGTATATATTCAGGACCATTCCAAGTGTCTTTCTCAGTAACAAGAGTAAAGTAACGGGCAGGAGTCCTTACTATGATAGGTATTTGCTTTCTGTTGTGTTCTCTATGTATATATTACCATTTCATTTATGTCTTGTGTATTAGTTTCTCTGTATCCTCTGAATGAGCGAGTTTATTATGGAAAATTTGACTATTTAGTTTTGTTTCCTGCAGAAAATATTGCAGCTACTACCTGAGAGGATTTTTTGTCGATGGCATTTTCGCAGTATAGGTAAGAAGGAATGGTTTAAAAACATTCTAGTACAAATAAAATCATTGTTTTCTGTAGTCACTTCTCTGGTTCTGCAAGTCCTGTTAACCACAGAATCCCTTAATATTGCCCATACACCAGTAGTACTTACATATGAGACCTGCAGCTGAAAATTCTTGAAGCATATGGAAAATCTTCTTACCTGCTTTGACAGCTCTGTGTGTTCCTTGTTTTGTATGGGTTTGGTTGCCCACTTCATTTTTACTTTGCACAAATGCTCTTTAAATTTTTGTATTCTTGAGTTTACTTGAGTTCTCTTCCTCTTTTTCATGCGCACCAAGATGATGGGGGTTATAAACCAACACACCTTTTTCTAATGAGGCCTCCCTTTGTATTCACAGACTAACACCGAAAACTAAGATTGAGTAGGGTTGTGGAATATGTGACTCTCTTGCAAGTTTGTGTTATGATAGTCTTTTGCAAGTGATCATGTATGAGGTGCCCGTACAAATTCATAGTACTAAATATTGCTCTTTGTCTCAACCTCAACCCTTGCCACTTCCTGGAAATTTATTCTGTAAAATTCATGCTGTGAATAGATGGCTGTTTGGTAGTTGAGCACATGGTGTGCTAAACAGAATGTAAACCATTGGACTGCTGCAGTGAATGGGAGCTTAATTTTTTCTCTCCATTTCTGTATTTTCTGTGCAGTTCATTAATATTTGTGAAATAGTTGTCACACTGTTTGTGGGAATTGAATGAGGAATTTCGGGTTTAGACCTTAATAACTTTTAAGGAGTTATTTAAAATTTTTCTTTACTTAAATGGGTGGTTCACAATTTTCTGCAAGTTTAGCCCCAGCTGTCTTTCACTGATTTTTCACATAACGGAGAATTTGCTAAGCATAACATTAGAATATGACATGGGCCATGACAGACACAAGATGCCTATGGATGGCTTTCACTTGGTCAAACAGAGAGGCAGTTTGTTCTTTCCCCATGCTCCTATGGTATTTACTGTACATATTCTGGCTTCTGGAGCAAGGGAAGGAAGTCTGGCAGGAAGAATTCGTGGAGTTGGTAAAGTTCTGCTTTTTTTTTTTCCTTAGTCTTTTGTACATTCTGCATGCTTTGTGGGGGCAGGTGTTCTGCAGAAAAAGGCTTCATAAGCACAGAACTGAAGATTGTTTTGTGACATGCATAAAAAAGAAAAAAATAAAGTTGCCAACTTAGTTAAGGCACACACGGAGTGCTTGGCTTAAAGCACTTAATGTTCTTCTGCTACAGTTATTTTTCTCTTAAGCATAAAAATAACAGATATCTAACAGGCTTGGTTTAGTCACTCACGAACTTTGGGGATCTAAGTAAGAAAAGCAGGATTAATTTTCCTGAACAACTACCAAGTTTTTTAGAAGCTTTCATGTAGTTCAAATAGGACTTTCAACTAGATTTTAAAATTAGATTTGAACATTAATGCTCTGAAAGAAAAAACGTTTTATTGTATTTAGTTAGAAGATAGTTAACTTTTAAATTCTTTAAATATTCCCTGTGGCCTACATTGCGTATATAGTGCATGTTTTGACGCTATGATCATGTACAAGAGATGGAAAGCAAAATTTATTCCTCTCCTTATTTGATCAGATTGAACAAATCTGGAGCCAAATGGGTACAGAAGTATTGCAAGGTGAAATACATTTATTTTGATAGTCAAAACACCTTGAAATCCAGTGAAGTAGTTTAACTTGATAATTTCCTCCAAATTAAGTGCCTTTGCTTCATCATTACTTTGAAAATTCTGTTTCTGAGTGCTACCAAAGTGGTCACAACATTTTGTTTTGATGTTTGTTAAAGTAAATTTTATGCTGTTTTGGAGGGAATGTATTTTTTCTAAGTAGTGCTTTTTTGTTGTTGTTTGGTTTGATTTCCAGCACTATTTCATCTGCTGCCATGGTTTTCATCAGAACAATGAATTTGCTGTTGCAGAAGAAATAATGAGTGGAAGTTAAAGGTCAAGGAAAGGGCTATTGTCACATTTCCAGTTAGCACTGACAGAAATAAAAGGAGATGTCTGCTTGACCACTTTATTACCATTTCATCTGAATTAGTCCAGAACAAATTGGTTTTAGTCAGTTGTTTTATAGCTAATATATTATTTATATTTATGCTTTTCTTGAGTAGTCATATTTGGATAATTTCTTAGCTGTGTCCAATAAATAAGCTACAGAATTTGGCAGTGCGATTATTTACAGCTGTACCTTGTGATTTGCTTTTTTGTTTAATGTTCATATGCATTAATATGTATTTGCTATATATGTTAATTTCCATTTAACATGGTGAAATGGTGAGATCTTGAGGGAAGGATCACATTTAAGGAATGTACATAATTCACAAACCCAGGAGAAATAACATTTGAAGTTAAGGGCAGTTAGCATGGTATTTCTAAAACTAGAATTGAAATATTTTGCAATTTTAGTAGTTGTGTTTTATAGACATAAATGTAGTATAGAGTGCTAGCATCTTTTTCTAATAATTGTCAATATTGGTGTGTTTGAATGCATTAATCCTATAAGTTGGACTTCTTGGTTTCTCCAAATCTAGTAAGTAAAAATTTCCTCTAGCTATCTTATTTTTAATGAAAATAATTTGAGAAACTGTCATCTGACTAAAACCAAAGTCCCTCACTGTAAAGATACATTTTATTTAATCTTATAACACTGATAATGGTGATGATGATTGTCATTAGATTCACTTTGGGTTTTTTCACCCCATAATACTATTTTTTCTTGAACACCAGCACAGTAGTCACATAGTAAATGGCATTAAACTAACTTTTGTATAGTATTTTAAAAAAAACATTCTGGTAGAAAGTGACCAACTTAGTATCTGATACGTGCCTGTTAATTTTTTTTCTAATTTAGGGTCGATTCTGAAGAAACTTTTGCACACTGGAAATTCTCTCAAGGTATTTCTCTTTCATGTATTCATATTTCTTTTCACCTTAATTCTTGTGAAGCATATTACTTTACAGTTTTTCAATATTGGTGTTTTTCAGAATGTTAGCCTTTGTGATTTTACTTATTCACCTTTAATCGTAAATTTTATTACCGTAATCCTAGATTATTTTACTATTTATCTTCAGTCATTTTGTTGTTCTAGTGGCTGTTGCAGTTACTGGAGAAGGTATCAATATATTTTGTTTAATACTTCATTTTTTTCAGATCCCTCTAGCATTAAGTACACCATATTAAATGTATTGGTTTCTTGTTTGCCAAAGGGTTTTATATCCATTTTTCTAAATACATCGCTAAAATTAAAATTCTATCTTGTTAATAAAAAAATGTAGTAAATAAACTTAGTAGGCTTACTGAATATGCTACGTTGGGTGGTTTTATTGCAACTCAGTTTTCATGAGGATCTTCTGATCCCATTGATGTTGAGAACAGTAGCTTGCTTTGGCCTCTGTGGGGCTGAGATTTCAGACTGCTTAGGACACGAAGTACTGGTGGCTCCCCGGCTCTGCATTACACTTGCTGTTGTACTTTCAGAGCCCCTTTTAAGTTTGAGCCTTGAGACTAGCCAAGGTGCATTTGGCACTGGGATCTGAGGGAGTGGAAATAAAACGTTTTGGCCTCTGATTGAAGCTGGAGTAGTAATGCTGTCTCCTTGGAGTGCCACCGCCTTGGGTACAGCTTGCTTCCACCCTTTTCTGCTCATGATTAAATAAATTAATAATGTGATTATTCTTGGTATGATGGAAAGACTAGCACAGAGCTGGGATGAAAGTACTTGTCCTGCATTTTCTTAACTATTTAACTGTGGTGCTGTACTTACAAATTTGTTTTAATATCTTTTTCTACAAAATCATCCCCTTGTAGATAAGATGTGAAGGAATCCGACTGTTTCTTCTCTGGCTTCAAGCGCTTCAGACTAACTGTGCAGAAGAGCAGATATTAATATTTGCATGCCTTGTGCCTGGCTTTCCACCCTTTATGTCCTCACGAGGTCCCTGTACACTAGATAACCTCATTAGTCCTCCTAATTCGCCAGACGGTGAGTAAATGAACAGAATTTCTGAGACAGGTGTATTCCCTCCCCGTTCCACTGAGGTCGTTGTGGAGCTATAGAGTTTCTTGTGGGAAGATATCACATGGATGATACTATTTGTCTTTAGAATTCAGAGACATACTGAATTTGTCAAGCTATAGTATTTATTGCAGCCTTATAACCTTCTGATCTTGTCATTATGAGTTCAGAACAGTTGGGTTCTGTTGTTTTTTGGTTAGTTTTGTTTTTCTAATTGAGATGCAGCTATCTGAACATGTTACTGCAAAATCAGTAGGTGTTTAGATTTACAGCTTATTGGTGATCTGCAGTGACTGCTCTTGTTAACCCATCCAAACTGCAGTAAATCAGAGGTTGGTACCACCCTTGGTTGTATGCAGTAGGACTTGCGGAAATATGGGAAGCCCAAGGAGTAACCGGACTTTGTACAACTTAGTAGTGCATTAATGGTTATTTTCACATTAATCTCTTTCTAGAAAATATCTTAAGTTTAACTATTTTCCATTTTTTTACATTTAAAACATTCTCTTTTTTCTTTAGCTAAGATTTTTCCAGAAGAAATAACGCCACTTTTGCCAACTGTCTCTGGAGAGAAAATTGCTGAAGACCAAACCTGCTATTTTCTTCAGCTACTGTTAAAATATATGGTAATTCAGGTGCGGAGGATATATGTTTTTTACTATTCATATTTGGAGGAATGTACTTGTGGCAGAAAATTAAGTCTACACAGTATCTAGAGAGCTGGGTTTGCCCCTCCCCAGGAAAAAGCGGTCTTCTGCATTTCCTTATTCTTGTTTTTAAAAGCAAAGTCATCCTAAAGGTATTTCATTGTGCCATTTTTGGTGAAAATAAGTTTTTCACGCTTGTGATAGTTAATAAAAGCTATCCAAACTTGCAGGATAACTGACTTTTTTATGTGCTTATGGTCACATTTAGAAAATTGATATGGGGCAAAGATGCAGTTTGTTCTCTTTGGATGCATACATAGCTGAGAAGACTATGGAGAAAGAGATAAAAAGGAGAGATGGCTTCTGAGATTTTTTTTTTTAAAGGATGCAAGTAACATGTACATCAAAAATTTAAATTAGAAATAGATCAGATTATTCTGTACAGGAAAAAAATTAAGATAATGTATATATTTTAAAAGTACAAATTAAGTAACATTTTAAATAATGTTCATTGTCTATACAGTTTCCACTTTAAAGAGCTCGGTATTAAAAAAAGAAGATAAAAGATAATGAAATACTTTAAGATACTTTTTTTTTAATATATATATCAAAAGGCAAGACCAAAATTATATTTAGAAGGGGTTTTATCATCTTGAATGAATGCTTTATTTTGAAAAGTGGCTGTATGGAATTATCAACTTCCTACACAGCACTCTTTGTTTCACTTATCAGAGTTTCACAATACTTCAGTTAGAAAAAAATATCTTCTCTGTTCTTTTTATACTCTTATTACATGTTTGGAATCTAAAAAACCTGACTACACTATAAATCCAATTGCATTGTGGTTCATCAACATTCATTATTTTTGTTGCTCAGTAGAGAGGAGCACAGTTGAACAGTAGCCTTCTTGCTATAGGCAAGAGATGAGATGAAAATAATCTGATGCAAATGCAGAATGATTGCTCAGAGCCAGAATGTAGAGCAAATCTACGTCTTCAAGAAAATTTGAGTGGGTAGAATTCAGTATGAGTTAGTTTATTTACATAACAAATAAAATTAAACAAAACCTCAGTAGTCTTGTTTTCAAGCTCTACATGAGTATTTTGCAAAAAGAGGACATTGCAAGTTCCACAGTTTTTAGATTTGGAAAAAAATCTAGTAAAAGTTAAAGTAAGAAAATGTGTTTAAAACAAATAAACCTCATGTAACTGATTTAAAGAAGTCAGTTTTTCTTTAACTTAATAAATTATCATCTCAGATATAGATCCAGTGAACTTCTTATCTGCTATATAGAGTTGGACAGGCTTTTCAAAGAGCTTTACCACAAAAACGATATTTAAGAACCCTTTAATCTTTTGATGTTGCTTTAAAGAAAAAAAAAAATAAAAAAAAAAAAGAGGTACGCCTGAATTTAAAGCATATGTCAAAACATTAACCCTTTTGTGGTGCTCACTTGAGTTTCACAAAAAGAGAAGTTACATAAGAGATGAAAACCCAGGTGGGTTTAAGTCATCTGTGTAAAAAGTGCTTCATTGTAGAGATGTCTACTTCTGTCTTTCTTATTTGAAATTGTATTGGATTTTCTTATACAAATAAAGGAAACGCACCCATATAAGATATGTGCACCTTATTCCAAACTGAAGGTTTTTCAGTGTGAAAAGAGCAACTCTTTGTCAGAATATGGCACAGTCTTCCAAGGAATTTTAGTTCAAAACTGTTCGTAAAGAGCAACTTGAAAGTATGTGTACAACTCTTCGGTGTTGATCTGTGCAAGAACAGAAGAGTACCTTTAAAAGCAAACTTAGATGTCAGCGTCTTTCTTGTTAGTGGAAATTACTTGTGCCTTGAGTCAAATTTTGCAAAAGAGTATTGCATGTCTGTGTGCACCTGTATTAAATGTGGGCTTTGAGTATGTTTCTGATGACAAACATTTATGATAAAAGTGTAGCCCGGAGAAACTTAGACAAAGTTTACAGGTAAGAAGCAGATTCATTAAAAACATTAATAGGACATTTTCTGTGCTTTACTGCATTAGAACAGCATAAATATGGTGGCTTCCAGTGCGTTCTTTGATATGCTAAAGCCCTCATGGTAATATCTTATATTCTTACTGCATTTTGTAAAGTTTTTCCGGACAGTGCTAATTCTTTTTATCTCTTTAAAGTAATTGGTTATCTGTTGTATTCAGTGTGGAATGATTGTCAGTATAACGCATTAACTTAAAGCTTTTTGTTTCTCTTTAACTCCATGATAAAGGCTGCAAGCTTAGAGTGGAAGAATAAAGAGAACCAAGACACTGGTTTTAAGTTTCTCTTTACCTTGTTTAGAAAATACTATCTTCCTCACTTGTTTCCATCTTTTACAAAGTTAACCAACCTCTACAAACCCGTTCTTGGTGAGTAGTAGTGAATTTTATCTTTTAAGCAGAAAAAAGAAATAATGGTGTCTGTTCTCAGTAGCATCTCTGTTTACCTGCTAGCATATTGCTACAGTTCTGTTGAAAGAATATTTGCTCCCTTGTCTCGTGTTTTGGTTTTTTTCCTAGCTCAACTTTTGCTTTTCTGAGATAGTTGAGGAAGCTGCTGCTCCTCATCCCTGCATAAGGGATATCTTGATTCTCCTTTCCTAAGGACATTTCTGCTGGCATAGAATTTAGATCGAGTGAGTGAGGACTCTAACTGATATGTAATGAAGACAGAACGTGCTCTCTGAGGTTTTTTTTTTTTAAAGAACTGGCAAGCTGCCCAAGTGTGAGGCAGTAGCTACCTTAGTTAGTCTTACTTTATATCTTGTTTTCTTGAAGAGAAAGTGAACATGAAGGACCAAACGAAAGGAAATGGAGATGTGCATCTATAGTTGTAGGATTAAAAGCATGTTATTTCAGAAATGCTCACATTTTTCCTAATTTCCTACCAAATTATGTATTGGAGTCTATAGGAGCAATGATGTCAATGCTCACCTGATGTACCGCCTCTTCTTCATTATCCTTCCCCTCCCTCCTCTGACTTTTAACTCTGTCCTTTGCCGTTTAATATTTAGTGTCTAAAATCACCTCAGTGCCACTTCAGCTGTGTTGTTCACAGCTACAGCCCAGGCCTTCCATAATTTTTGGCTGAGATTTTTCCCAAAAATCTAAGTATTTAAATTAATTATGACCCAACCTATCTCCATTTGGCAATCTTTCACTTCTTTCTTTTATTTCAGCTTGTGCAGTGCTCTTTGTACCTGAGTTAACTTCCCTTTCCAATGTGCTAAGTATCCGTTTTCTTCTTTGCACTATTGAGTGTTCCAGAGCCATATTCTGTTTCTCACTGTACTGTATCAATAAAACTCTCTGAAACCTGCAAAATTAACTTGCGTTGTAGTAGGAGTAGTTCTTTGTTTCAGATTTTGCCCTTCTTTTCACAGCCCTTCTCTTTTGCTTTCCTTTGTTTTGTGTAGTTTAACCAGAGTCTGGAAGCAATTACAGGTTTTTAATATTAGATTTTCTTTATATATCTTGTCTTTTTATCTCACCAGATATTCCTGATACAAGACCAAGACCAGTATACATTACTGCAACACGAAACAATGAAAGTGTCTATAGCACAAAAATCCCATATATGGCAGCTCGAGTTGTTTTTATTAAGTGGCTTGTTACCTTCTTTCTTGAAAAGAAATATTTAACTGCTGTTCAGAATACAAAAAATGGAGGAGAAATGCTCCCTAAAATTATTCAGGTGTGCTTTAAAGTTTACCTCTCTTTACTTGTATATGCTAACCTTGCAAATGATCACAATGCACTGACAATCAAAGCAAGAAAGAAATGCTATCCCTAAGTGAATAAATTATGTATTTGATTTTGTTTTTTTCTTTGATGGAGGGAATCTCCAAGGGAAACTCTTTAGCAATTTAATAGATTTTTTTTTTTCCTCATAGCTGTTTGCCATACGAACTTCACAAGCTTCATCAGTATTATGTTTAGACTTTGGGAATTTAATCTGTAAACTGTCAAATTTATTTGTACCATAGACCATTTCCAGCAACATCAAAGGCTGCTTTGTTTTCCTTTTGATATAGCCACTGTTTACGATGAGATATTAGAAAAATATTTCTAATTTCTTGTTTAGGATTAGAGACTTAACAATTAATTTCATAGAAATAGATACTTTTACTTTTAAGAGACTCTTCAGTTTTCTGTTAAAAATTTAGTATCAATGTCAACTTATATTGTTCTCTTGAATCATAGGTCAGTGTCAGATCTGGATTCAGTGGAAAAGCATACATTAACTATTATGGTAGAACCAAATATTTTCATGTCAATTGTTTTTGGAGTTCTTCATTATAGAAGTTCGAAGCCCTAAAGCATCTAAGTGTGGCTTACCTACTGAAAGTGCTTTTTTATTAATTTTTTGTTTCCCATTGGGAAGTCAACCTTTTGTATAAACTGCTGTGCCATTCCAACAGACATAGCCTGGAACCAGATTTTTTTTTCATTTGACTGAATTTTTTAGACATCTGACACCAAATAAAGATTTAGGTTGCATAAAGGTATTGTTGCCCTCAAAAAAGCAACTGGTCAAAAGTTATTACTTTGCTGAAGCTCTGTGCCAGCTTTTGACTCGTGTTGACTTCTTAGTGGTTTTGTGTCTTGCTGTGTGGCTGAATCTTACCAAAAAGTTCATTGAGAAGAGCAGTAGAGAAGTTACTGTTGTTCTGTTACTGTTCACATGGTTGAGTGGGGGGCAGCCTTATTCATGCAAGCATAAAGCAGAGCTGCATTTGGGGGATTCTTTGAGGTAGTGTAACTTGGGGTTCATTTTCTGGTAACTCAAAAGCAGTTTTTTTAGTCTTCTGACTGGATCATTTTAGCTGGATATGGTTCGAGATGTTCCAGAATTCTTGCAGTGCCAGAACAAAACCTGACAAAAGAGTTGTCAGGAATAATAATATGCAAGAATTTGAGCCATGTATCATGTACAATCCATCTTTTCCCCAAAACAGAGGGACTTGGAGATTCTTCTCTACCATGTCTGTGCCTTTCTCTACTCCCACCACTGGACCCCTCCCTGTTCTTTGTCTTATGGAGTGGACAAGTCTGCTGTTCTTGTCTTGAGGGACCCATATGAAGTGTACATCATGCAGTGTATAAGATGTCTTCTTGGATCAAGTAGTAGTCTGAAAATTACACTTCCTTCCCAGTGTGTTGTATGAAAAAAGAGCACTAATACCTTTAGTTCTGTGTAAGGATTTTTGATGTGCACTTTTTCAGTTATTTAATTAGATGTACGTTTTCTTCTGTGTAGACTGTTGGTGGTGTAAATCAGGATAAAAATGCAGAGCTGGAAACCAGTATGTCTTATGCAAATGAACAGGAGAGAAGCCATTCTAACAGCAGCACCTTGTCTGACAGAAGGCTCAGCAATTCCAGCCTCTGCAGCATCGAAGAGCAGCACCGGGCAGTCTATGAGATGGTGCAGAGAATTCTCTTATCCACTCGAGGATATGTTAACTTTGTTAATGAGGTGTTTCGACAAGTAAGTGTGTATGTTGCTATTGTATATATTTTTTAAAGGAAATGTCATGACTATGAGAGAGAATGCTGTTGAAGGCTGTTGGTCAGGTAATTGGTCAAACGATGCTAATCACACCAGCACCATTTTAGTTTGCAGTCCTTCCCAGGTCTAGTTTCAACAATAAAATTATGAAGTTTTTATAGGAACTGAAGCTTGTTTCTGGTGCCAGATGCCAGCATGTCTTACTTGAACAGGCCACTTCATTTGTTCTTGCTATTGTGATGTAATTGCAAATTTATTATTTGAGTTAGTAAGGTTCTTGTTCCTGTGATCAATGTCAGTATTTAATGCTTATTTGAACACTGATTGCTTCTACTAGTATTTTTCATTAATTTGTTATCTTTTCAACTGTTTGGGATAAAAAATACATGTGGATCTACTGTAGAAATTGGTTGAAGCAGCAGTTCCAGGTCACATAAACATGCAGAAGATACTCTCCCGCATCTGAGTGAGCACACATGCTTTACTATGAAGTATCTTGCGTGGCACGGCTTAGAAATTCCTTGTACCATTGCATTTCTGTGGGATGGATGGCATTTTGACAGGAAGGAGTACTTTTGTGTATGTTAAGAACTGCTGTAGCGTGCTGCCCTCTCTTGGTGTTTGTTCAGAGTATTTAAGGTTAGACCAGCTTCAGCGAACGAAAGCTAGCATGGTGCAGTGTTTCTATCTTTTAAAATATGACCAGTGTTCAGTAATTGAAACAGATAATAGGATTTGGATCCTTTTTGTGTTTATCTCTCCCTTACAGGACATTACGAGTCACTGAATTCCTTCACTCTTTTTTTTTTTTTTTTTTTTTTCTATCTACCCTACTTAGCCTTTCTGAAAGCATTTTATGTAGTGCCCGTTCATCCTGAGGATGAGCTGTTGTTTCTCTAATATCCTAGCATTTGACTTCTGGCTTTTTCAGTTTCTGCATCCTTAATAAGTTGACAGTGTCTGTGAAGACATTTTCAGAAATTTCACATATATACTGTCTGGCATATTTAAACTTGCTTTTGCTAACCCTTCAAATTCTGTTGAAATCAGCTGTTGGGTGTTGCACTTAATGTTGATTAGAGACAAGCAAGTATAGTATGTGATGCAAAGATTTCCTCTGACCTGAGCAAGATTACCTTTCTAATGTTTTTTCAGCTAAACTAGGTGTAGGAAATACTGTAGTTTTTGACCCTGTTAATCATGGGTCAAAACCCTGAAAACCCTGTCAATCAAGGGTCAAAACCCTGATTTTAACCCTGTTAATCACCTCTTCATAGGTGAAAGAACCTGGTTTTTAGTATGAAGAATGTATTTTCATCTCTTCTGGTGTTTTTATAATGCGTATTCTTATCAACTTTTATTTTTGCGAAATACACTTTTTTGTACTAGATGACATTTTCAGACATTTGTTTCTGTGACTGTTCACTGCAGTGCAAAGGTCTTCTGCCACTATGTTTTTTTCAGGTCTTCTCCTAAAACCTCAAGAAATGTGGGGAAGCAGCCAGTCTAGCCTTTGTAAGCTTTTGGAGAGAACATCGTTACAGAATGATTCCCAAATACAGATATTGAGTGGCATGTTGAAAATAAATTAATAGTGTTGATTTCCAAAACTGCAGTGAGAAAGGATGGAATGCTAGCTAGCCACTGTTATCCTCATCTAAACTTACTGTTTTGTCCCTACCTACACTCACTGAAATAGCATTTCTCATTGTATACTGCCAATGTAATTTGAAGTCATCTTCTCCAGAAAATGCAGCATAGTGCCTAAGTTTAGCCTGCCAGACCTCTATGGCTAGTAATGGCTTGTGGGATGAATCCATGTTCAGTTAGAGAGCTTGCAGGGAGCAAAACCAACCTCTTTGGTTTTGTCCAAACAAATACAACATGGAAGTAATTTGGAGTTAATAGTTATGGATTTGTGAATTATATAGATATATGCACAGGTGGTTGATTAATCACAACTCCTTCTCGTCCAGACATAAAAGTAAAATTATGTATCCTTTCTTTTTTGAGCTGTATTATTTGTGGGTGTTGGTGTGTGGATGTCCTTATATATGCATGCACGTTTATGTCCTCTATATAGTAAAATTAGTTAACTTTTCAATTCAGGCTTTTTTATTGCCACCTTCTGATATATCTGCAACACGAAAAGTGGTTAAGGTATATCGAAAGTGGATATTGCAAGAGAAACCTGTGTTCATGGAGGAGCCAGACAAAAAGGAAGACAGTCAGCATGCTGTGGTCAATTTAGAGGATTCTTCAGTGCAAACGGATGGTAAACATGTATGGTATCAGTGTTAATATATTCTGTTCACCTACAATATGTGAAAACTATTAAGTTTTAAGCTCACTTTGTAAATGAGTAACAATTTTTAAAATGTGTGGAAAAACAAGATTAAAATATGCTTTTATTTAAGACCCAGAAATTTAAATAATATTGTGTTCAGTAGCCCTTACTGAGCGCAGGGAAAGATTGCAGGTATTCTGAAACATGTAATTTGTTGATTATTCCCTGTCTATACAAATATGATATTAAGAACTTAATGGAATAAATACTAATATGCTCTGCAGTATTAAAATATACACTGTCTGTTGGCCTAGTGCATGTAGATCTTTTTCCTTTTGGTGGTAGTTACTTAAGAATTTGAAAGTATCTACTAATTTGTATATGATGGATGAAATACTTGGATTCAGAAACCTTAATCTTGTAAATTAAAGTATAGGTACGAATTCTGAGCATCATCTTTTTAGTATCTTTTATTGAACCATCAGTAAAAGTTGACTTTGAAACTGTTGACACTGTGAAGCTATTTAAGGGAAGTTTTGTTGTACTGAAGAGGAGGGTCAAGTTGTAAAAACATAGTGAGAATTGCAAGGTTTTGTCAGATTCTTTTTGTAGGGGGTTTATAGCTTTGCCAGGCTTAAATGCAATTATTACTGCAATCAGTGACTACAAAATGTGACATAAAATATTTTAAATAGCATAGCTCTTAAAACTTTTATGAACCTTTATATTCCATATACTGTCTGTTCAGAGATTAACAAATAATAGGCATTAATTCCTTACTGAAATGAATATAGGACATGATCGATCCTCCTTTTTTGCTTTTTATGTTTCAAATGATTTTGAATCAATATGGATATATTCCTTTCTGGTTTGTCACTAACTGAATCATGTTTTTGAAAGCTTTCCTCTGACCATTCAGGACATAAGCGCTCATCCAGCTGGGGAAGAACTTACTCCTTTACCAGTGCTGTTAACAGAGGATGTATATTAGAAGATGAGGACAAAAATGTTAAAGCTGGTGCTCAAGCTGCATTACAGGTATGGTATATAGAAAGGATACAAGGCTGTAACTGATGTAATCATGTAATTTAGACTACAAATTCTAATATAATCTCTGAGATTAAGGAAGATAACTACCAGCAGTTGATGTTTTTTTAAAGATACGATTTGGACTTCATTTATAACTTTATTGAAATCAATATTAAACCGTGTCACCGTATCTTAGAGCCAAGTGTCTATATTTTAAGACGAATCTTTTTTTTCTACTGCGAGTACTAAGAATTGATCAGAATTGTATGTTTGCTCTCGTTGAACCTCATTTATTGGAAATATTGGTGGTTGCTCAAGCATGTAAAGCCAGGAGGTGAGTGGAGGAATGGTACTCTTGCCTGACTGAATAGAAGAGATACCTATAAAGTCCATCCTGTGCAGTGCTTGCCTTTGTTGGGTCTGAAATGCCACCTGACTTTTTGCTAGAATGATATAGAAAAACAAAGTAAAACATGAAACTTGTTCTAAGGAAAGTTGAGAGGTTTGACTGGAGGAGGAGAAGTATTTTATTGTAAATCTTGACTTCTTTTATTTCTGACATTGTGTAAATTGACTGTAAATGCCTGTCTTGAAGGTGTTCTTGACAAACTCTGCAAATGTTTTCTTATTGGAACCGTGCATTGAAGTCCCCGTGCTTCTGAAGGAGCAAGTTGATGCTTGCAAAGCGGTTCTGAGTATCTTTAGGCGCATGATAATGGAACTATCAATGAATAAAAAGACATGGTAAGCTTAATATATTCTGCATCATTTCAGAGAAAATGATCAACATTTAAGCTTTATGGGAGAATTATTGGGTAGAGGGAAGACTGGCTTTCTCAGGGGTAGACCGTACACATGTGACTGACCTCTGAATTGATTTGTGAGACTGTACATTCTGTTGAGTCTACATCATGACACTGTTTGACTTTAAGGCTCTGCCTGGTATTCCCATTCCTGACTTCACCCTCTCAAAAATCAGTTCTTACAATCCACAACCAATATGTAACCTTAATGGAGAATTAAGAGGGGGTTTTGGTACATGAAAATTAACAAGTACAATGAATAGAACATGTGAACAAAAAAGTACAATTTTGTTTTGGAACCAGGGAACAGATGCTACAGATACTCCTTAGAATTACAGAAGCTGTGATGCAGAAGCCGAAAGAAAACCAAATAAAGGATACGTTCGCTCAAAGCATGTCAGGATTACTTTTCCGAGTGAGTGGGGTTTGGGTTTTTTATGTTGATTTTCTTGATGATTATCTGTAGTTTTAGTTAAGTACTATTGCATCATACTGTGAAACTTACTTGTAAAACATGATAAAATTCTCATTTACAGTAATACAAGTGATTATTTTGTAAACTGTTCGTAACAGAGGGAGACAGATTGCAACAAGCAGTTGATTTGATCTGTTCTTCAGGGCTCTACTACAAACCATGGTAGAACAGGCAGGCCCAGAGTCTCTTTGTGGAATGTCTTCAATGAGTATCTCTAAGGTGTAAGCTTGATGTAACTGTGTTCCTAGAAGTTCAGCTGGCAAGTCAAAACTGAGTCCCTCTGAATGTGATGAAAACACATATATTGTATTGTACTTTGGGATGCTCAGCTACAGGATCGAGGCCCGAGTGTTGCTGCAAACCTCAGTCACTACAATCATTCTGTAGATATAGGAGACAGTTCTTTAAATTATTGTTATGCCCTGTGTATTATTTTAGTTTACCAGAGAACATATAGACCACCTGAAATATGTTTTGGAATTTTTAGATTTCCAGTCCATAACTTTCACAATTATTTACCCACTAATTTTTGGGTATGATTTTTTTTTAAAAGAAAAATATCAATGTCTAATGTCTGTGCATCATGAATAATAAATACTAACATGCAGGTCAGTGTTGACTTCATCGACATGTGGGTTGGTGTTGGCGTGCTGAATTCATCTTGACAGAAATGCATGAACTGTCACTTGTTTCTTTTCTCTCAGACCCTCATTGTGGCTTGGATCAGAGCAAACCTTAGCGTTTACATTTCTCGGGAGCTGTGGGATGAGCTGCTCAGCGTTCTGTCTGCCCTGACAGACTGGGAGGAGCTCATAAATGAGTGGGCCAATATCATGGACTCTCTAACAGCGGTGCTAGCAAGAACTGTGTACGGGGTGGAAATGACAAACTTACCCTTGGATAAGCTCAGTGAACAAAAAGAAAAAAAGCAGAGAGGAAAAGGTTAGTCTTGTGCTTCAGTGCTTTTTGTATCAAACAAGTTAAATATTTAAGTTTAATCTTAACAATTAAATACTACTTAATCTAGTGTAAGAACCTGTTTAATCAAATGTGAAGTGCTCTGGATTTATGTATTCTCATCCTTCATTGTGGGAGGAAAGGTAATTGGGGTCAACAGAAGATAGCTATTTAGCAGTTTTTATTACATGCTCGAAATCAGTCTTTTCTGTGTAGTGGAAATGAAACATGGTTTCCTGTGCTGTAGTCTGGCATAGTCATCAGTGTAAAAATTCTTTTCCATGTATTTTTATTAAACTTTATTAATTACAATATTTTAGCTACTTTTATGTGTCACCTTGCAATTGATGCACATAGTTGAAGTAGTAATTGTTTTTTAACAGTAAAAATTAATGTTTTTAAAAGATTAAGATTTTTAATGTCTAAGTGCTTTTAAGTCCATTCATACTGTAAGAAATATATGTGCCAAAGCATACAATAATAGAAAATCCTGGTTTTGTTATCTCCAAGGTGGCATTTTGGAGCCTCAGAAGACAGCTGTAGTGGGAAGATCTTTTTCATTAAGCTGGAAAAGTCATCCTGAAGTTGTGGAGCCAATGAGGTTTAGAAGTGCTACAACCTCTGGAGCCCCAGGAGTTGAGAAAGCAAGAAATATTGTTCGGCAAAGAGCCACAGGTTAGACCATAACTAAATGCTTATGGGTAACGCTAATAAGTTCTAAATCTGCCTTTCAGTTGTGACTGCTTCCAAAAGTCATGAAACTTCATAATTAAATGCCTAACCCCAGAGATGATGTGTACCTGTGTCTGGATGTCTTGACCACTGCCAGTAGGAATAAAGAATCAAAGTATTTTGGAAAATTCTAAATATATGCTTTTAAATATGTTACATTTATTTGCAAGCTGTGGGGTTTTTTGTAAAGAAGTAAAGTACATTCCTGTGGTTATCGATTCATAACAAAGCATTTAACATCAGTCAGATAATTTATATTGCTTCTGTATTTCCATGCAGCTAGCTCTCTACTGTGAGCACATGGTAAACCAGATATTTAATAAACAATTTCATCCTTTCTTATTTGATTTCTTTTTATTAGCATGATGAGGTTTGTATAGCATCTCCTCATTTTTTCTCTCATGTTTGCTTCTGGAAAGAGGAAAACAGGAGAAGGGAGAATGGGGGTGAGGAATGATGGGGAAATATCTAAAACTTCAGGTATTGAACCAAACCTGATTTATTTATTTTATTTTTTTTTTAAGAATTTCAACAGTTCAAATTTAATCTCTTATTTCATGGTAGCATATTTCTGTGTTCCAATTCAATGGACTGTGGCTTAAAACTCTCCATAGAAAATCTCCTGCTTTTAAATATGAGATATTGGCTGCACAGCTTCCTTCCTCATTCATAGCAGATTAGTTATGTTTCTTACCAGGAGAATCTGAAGGTGATTTAGTATGCTTTTGTGGCTACAGGCTTCATAACTAAGCCATAGTCTTCAGCTAAGATCACAAAACATTTTGGCAATGCAGTCAATTCATTCTTTGTGTCTGTTTTATTTTTAAATTCAGTGAGTTTCCTATTTGTGCTCCAGTGGAGAACTCCCTTTCTTCTGCTCCTTCTTTCTTCCCTAGACTTCTCACCAGAATGGTAGAGAGAACCTGGAAGTATTGATCAACAAGGACTTTACTTAATTGGGTGCGTTGAAATTAAAGGAACTTCCTACCTTTAGTAAAAAAAGCTTATTTGGTAGGGAGAAAGTAGGTTGTCCGGTAGGAGGATGAACTTCATGTGTAAAAAGCTTTTAGTTTCATTTTGTGTCTCATGGTCATATAAAGAGAATTATTCTGGCTTCCATGGGATTTATGGTGATCAGTGGCTCCAAATCAACAGGTGCAGAAAAGTTTTATATTTGCACATGCAGTTCTAACAAATAATCATTCCAAATATATAAAATGTATACTCCTTTTTTAATGTAAGACTATTTAGAAACACAAAACTCGGCTACTAAGCCTCCAGAGGTTCCATCTTTCAGAATGAAATGTAGCAGTCCCTGAGGTGAATACAGAAGCCAGGGCTGTTCATGGGAGGATTTTCTTAGTAGAGTGGACACTTTGAGAAAAGTGTCCCCTACTGGAAGCTTTTTAAAAATCCCTAATATTTTTCCTCTTGTGTAAAAAGAACAAAAATACCCCTATGTCAACATAAAAATATCAGAGCACCTCCTGCTTCCACTTGAGCCTTTCTTTTGTTCTGCTGCTTGTGTCTGTAGTTGTATGAGTAAGAGCAGAGTATTTCTGCAGCAGCAGAAAATCTTTTGCCTGCTACTTTGCTTGAGTATTTTTCCTTCCTTCCCTTCTGTCTTCTAAAGTGTCAGTGTTGACATTGCTGTGTACAAGAAGAGAAGCTGTACAGTGAATAATTTTTTTTCCCCAATAAGTTTCTGTTAGAGACTTTTGTAATTCAGCATAACTTTTCGTAATATAATTGATAAAATGCTGTTTTTCTCTAAAGGAGACTAGGCTTATGACAATTGGATTTTAATCCATAAAATAGAAGGTTTTAATGACATTAGATAGTCTCTAGAGTGTTAGCCACCTTGGAAAGTGATTTTCTGGTGACCTTTCTTTTTCTAAGGAACAGTGAACCTATTTAAGTGTTGCTATTTTGGAGACAAATACACTAAGATATGCATTCAGACTGCACTTATTTTCTACTTTCCCTTGTGGTGACTTAAGAACTCCAAAAACTCTCACATAACTTGTGTCCCTTTCATCATCCTGTTCAGAAGTGTGGAAAGCAGAGCTCAGTACTGCAAAACCAGAGTCTACAGGGTAATTCAGGGTGTAAGGAACTACATCAGGTCTAACCTCCTGCTCAAAGCAGGGTCAGCTGTCCATCAGACCAGGGTACTCAGGGCTTTATCCAGTCAGGAACTGGGATCTCTACTTTTAAAAGCAAAACCAGAGGCAGCTGTATCTTTAGATCGATTTTTGAGAAGCACAGTATCCCACTTCTCAGGTGAAAATAGATCGTGTTCAGTAGAGATGAATGAATGTAAGAGGCATCTGGTTTTGGTTGGGAGTGTTACTAGTAGAAGGTAATTTGAGTTACTTTTCCATTTTTTAATTTTTGAGCTGTATGTATTGCTACAGATACTTCAATTAAAAGAGAAAAGGGTAAGTTGAATTAGCCCAGACATAGGAATCAGACACTGACAAAAGGGAATATTCCATGTTGTGAAACTGCTGTGATTCAGGAATCACTGATTGTTGCACTTTCAATGTGTGAGATACAGTTGCACATTATTAACTTATAGGAAATACTTCTAGGCTTAATGTTGTAAAACTTTCTATTTTTTAAATAGCTTTGTGTTTCATTATATCATGACATTCAGAACCCCAAATATTTCATTATTTTTTCTGACATAATTATTGCTTTATTTTTTCCTGGAAGCTAAGCGAAGCCAGTCTATCAGCAACTGTGTTCATCTTTATGAGGCTTTGCCAGCTACTAAAAGTGTACCTCTTCTGCTTCACACTGTGAGCTCTCTCTTACCTGGTATCTCTTACACTTCTTGCTCTCACAGACTGTCAGGTACTGTACTTTAAAGTCATCTTTTATATAAATGTACCTTATATTTTTAAACTACGGTCTGTCTACTCCCTTTCCGTCCAGTTGATTAGGCTTTAGTAGTGCGAAATGAAATGTTTTGCACTGGTTCTGTTTCCTGTGCCTCGGATCTGCTCCAAACATGGTGTTAAGTAATACTGGTAGCCATTAGGAGATGAGCAAGTTTAATGGGAGCATATCTTGTCCTTTTTCATAGTTACAAAGTGGCTACTTCTAATGCTTTTTGTTATTCTTTTACTGGGTTCATTGTCAAAATAATTAACTTTTTCAGGAAAAAGGAGAACAATATATTTTCAAGGTGTATAATCCCTAGTAACTAAAGTTATTTCTTAATAAAGAAATACTTTTATTCATGTTTACACTTTAAATTACTTGCTTGGAAACCTTTACTAAATCCGTTGTTAAAGTTTTAGTATAGTGCAGACCAAGTATACTAAGGATTAGGAATGCAAAAACTAAAGGCAGCAATCCAGATTTGGGCATTTTAGTGGTTATTTGGACTGAATGAGGACATTTTTGATCAAAAGTGTAATAAACTTCTTTCCTGCTTTTGATACAGTCTTGTCCTGTGGAACTTGCTCTTGTGATAAATAAAGCTCAAACAAACCCTAAGCATACAACTTCTGAACTGAATTCTGTAGTGGTACCCAGACATAGATGTGAAAAACAGATGCAATGGCCTGACAATAATACAAAGCTACTTTGTTGTAAGGCATTCATCCTATCACCTAGCCAAGATGTGTTGGTGGAAGCAGTGAGATTTCTCTATCATGTTAGCAGACTCTCTTTTTTAAATTTCTGTCTCCAGCAAGTAGGTGTCTGAAAATGTGTCTTGGTCACCTCCCACATTTTACTTCCTGGGAGGGATTTCTGGCTCTTGAGCCCTGTGGTGGTTTGACCTTGGCTAAATGCCGGGTACCCACCAAGTCACTCTATCACTTCCCCACTTTCCCCCTCTTTTTCTCAACAGGGCAAAGAGGGGGAAAGAAAATAAGATAGGAAAAAAACCCCAACCCTTGTGGGTAAAACAAAAGCAGTTTTAATATAAGCAAAGCGAAGCAAAGATCAGTGTGCAGAAGCAAAAAAAAAAAAAAGAGATTTGCTCTACTTGCCATGAAGAGGGGATGTCGGGCCTTCTCTGGAAGCAGGGCTCCAATACACGTAGTGGTTGCCTCGGAGGACCAAGGGTGACCCACCCCCTTCCTCCTTTCTCCCAGCTTTATACTGAGCAGACATCATATGGTCTGGAATATCCCTTTGGTCAGTCCGGGTCAGCTGTCCTGGTTGTGTCCCCTCCCAAGATCTTGCTCACCCCATCCCACTGCTGTGGGAAAATGTCGGAAAGAGCCTTGGTGCTGTGTAAGCACTGCTCAGCAGTAGCCACAACACCAGGGTGCTACCAACACCCTGCCAGCTCCCAGCATAAACCACAGCACCATGGGGGCTGCTATAGGGGAAAAACAATTCCAGCTTAGCCAGACCCAGTACAAGCCCTAATAGGAGTTGTTAACTGCTGTAGCAAGAACAGGGAAGTTTTGTATGTGGTGCATTATAGCTTTCTAGAGATTCCTATTCTGAGAAATATCTTAGTGGTTTTTAATCTCAAATTATCTTCAGTTGTAACGCTGAAATTGTTCTAGTTAGTGAATGTAATTGATTATTTTATTATATTGCTTTCTGTAAGAAATTTACAGTCAAGAGTGATACTTTGAGGTCAGTAAATACCTGAATAATTAGGTTTTGTACATGTGTATTTGAAAATTTTCTGAAATACATGCAATGTTTACTAAGTACTGAGGTATTATTTAAACTTACTTGATAGTGTAGATTGAATGAACTTGTCCTTCAGTCTGCTGCTGCAATCTGTGTATATCGGTCTGTAATCTTGCATCCTGAGTAGAGGGGTGGTACTTGTTCATTTCTGAATAAGTGTAGCCTCAATGTCAGTGCCTGCAGGAAGCAGAGCAGAGCAAATGAGAGAGGAGGAATTGAACAGAGAGCTGGTGGACAGGTCACTTTTATTTAATGTATGTATTATGTAACAATATGCTGAAAGAAGCCTAGAAGACTTAATTCAGCCCATGTTTTTCACTGAAAAAAAGAAATTCAAAGGTTCTCATAAGAGTTAATATAGCACCATTTTCCATAATTTTTTTAAAGAGGAAAATAACCTTGGCTGTGTGGGTGAACACCTTGAGCAGTCTGCTGGTTGTTCTGTTGGGTCAGCTTTGATGGGCTATGCGGGCCACCTCACACCACGTTAATCAGTGTCAAAGCCATAACTAAAAATGCCGCCACTGAATGAGAACATACTTGATCCCTGGTGTTACTGTCTTTTTTCCTCCCGCCTAATGCTAAGAGAAATGCATGTCTAAAACCATTGTGTTGCTAGCTAATCTCAACAGTTCCTGTTGCTCCTTCCCTAGTATGTCAATTTACTTTCTCACTTGAATTTTTTATGCCTGCCTCTCTTCTCTTTTAATTCTCATTTGCAGTTACACCAAAAAAGCTGCATGGATTCTGTTTGTTCTCACAGACTAAGCCTGAATTATATGTAGCTCAGATCTTTTTTTACTCTGAATTGTTGCCTTTTTTTATTCTCCCCCTCCCCTCTTTATGGAGGAGAAGTCAGTAAGCACAGCCATCATTTCTGCATTCTGCATTTATATTCTCTCTGTTTTCAGTACAACAGGGTCAACTTTGGGTCTCTATCACTGAAAAACATAGCTTTGTCCAAGTGACATCCTCCCACCCTTCATTGGGTACTCCAAACCCCCAAAGTTACTTCTGTCCTTTTTCTAGACTTTTTACCATTTACACTGCTCATACATCTCTCTCTAAACTATAATTTTTTTTTTTCCTAACAATATTTTATAAAACTTCTGTAACTAGGGGTTACATTATACCTTTGTAACTTGGGGATTTAAAATATTTGAATGGGACACTTTTTCTTATAACCTTCTTAGGTAAGGAGTTCACATGTGTACGTAATTCTGAGGTTGTGAAAATACTTTGTGTTTTAATTAAATCAATAGAAGTTGAAGAATCTCAACAGCTGGAAAATTCATCAGGAACAGAAGCTACGGGCCTCTTCGCAGACCAAGAGCAGCAACTAACTCGAAGCAGCAGCACTTCAGATATTACAGATCAGTTTCCATCTGATTTTTTTCCAGGTAATATTGATAAAATACAGCTTTACTGTACTTCTGAAGAAAAATGTTGAGACTTGTTCAGCCTCATAAATGCTGATCTTATTTTGGTTTCCAGCTCTGTTCTTTTAAAATGTTGATCTTGTTTTCTTAGTAAATATATTGTTGGTATCTTGTTGAAAGAACTATTTTAAAGAAGTTACAGACCACAAATATAGGACATGACCTTTTATAAAGCAGGACAGTTAAAAAGAATTTAGAGTTACATAAAAAAATGCATAAATTCGGAAGTTTTATTTTTATCTGCCTTGCGTTTAAATTTTCTGTATTCTAGCTAACAGTTCTACTTCTGTTACTATAATGTAAGTATCTTATGCTTATGAAGGATTTTTCAAAGTAACTAGTACTCCATTTTAATGTTGTATTACTTCACTTGCTTATAAATATAAGAAACATACGTAAAGGTAGCTGAAATTTTCCTATGATTTGCTATGTATTTTCATCCCACAAATGTATATATTTCTTGTTTACTTTCTAAAATTTCTAGGTAAAAAGGCTGGAAGTTCTCATAATTTAAGTTCTTCAGACTCCAAATCAGTTCATGAAATTAAGGGATATACAAAGAAGGAACGTGAAGCTGAACAAGTAAGGCAGAATAGAAAGTGATTATTGATAAGATTCTAACAATTCATTTCTAATCAGATGCCTTTTAGCATTTAGAAACTCTAGCAACTGAAAGTGTGGAAAATTATTCTTCACCTTTCTAGTGTGGAATCTGGAACTGAGCTGTAGCTGTTGATTATGCTGTGTGGTGTGATCATTCTGTGTCTTCTGATCTTGTCTGTTGCTTATGCAGTTTTATGTAGTTGGCAATATTCTAGTCTTATACAAGATTTCTATGCCTTTTAAATATTAAATCTAAACAAGAAGTTCATAACTTAAAATATAAATCATTCATGGCTATTATAGAGTTACAATACACTGGAATAAATGTTTGATGGTTTAAAGTACTGGGGAAAATGCTTTCCTTCAGCACAATCTGTATTACTAGCTTATATTGCAGATGTTTGTATAAGTTAATATTAGGATAGGCAAGCTTCATAAATTTTTAATGCAACTTTTGAATACAAACAGTAGAAATAATAAATGACTGAGGCTGATCATCTTTGTGAAAGTATAATGCAATACAGGATGGAAGACTTCAAGCTGAATCTCATCTTTGGATCTTGACTCTGCCATACATCTAGACTTAAAGTACCATTAACACTCATCTCATCTTTCCTTTCTAGAGCTATTTTCTGCAGAGTACCTTCATTAATTGTTTCAGGAATAATAAAGTGTCTCAAAAAGGAAGGAAAACCTAGTATTCTTTGCATGGGGAGGGGAGAGGGAGAGAACTAAGCTCAGTAGTTGGTGGAATTAAAAATTAACCTGGTTCCTCATTCTGGTTTAGGTGTCATGTGTTATAAAATATTCACAGGCATATGCTGTCAGACTGCTACCAGTGTTGCACTTTCACCCTTTTTGCAAGTGGAAGCTGGAGTTTGACCATAGCATGAATATATATTCAATGTACCGTGTGAACCAGTTTGACATCATATCATAATCCACTGAAATACTGTCATGACTGATCACAAAGAGCCAGATTTGCCAGGGAAGATAGACCACTCTGCAGTCTATCAGGCAGTGCAAGCAAACAATTATTTCTTGGGGATTGTCAATTCTTTCCAGTTAAAGACAAAGCAACAACAAAGAAGTTAGTGTTAGGTAATATAATAATAATTTCTACAAGCCAGTTATATTTTTGGTTGCAGTAGTTTTGCTTTTTCAGATATATGCAGAAGGAATGGATGGATTAATATCTGGCCAGTAGATCAGAAATTGTTTCCTGAAATTTATTTTTAAATAGTTATACTAATAATTGCAAATGTCAAAATGAAATTTTAGAAATGTTAACTGAATTGAGGAATTTTAGAGTAGAGATTCCTTCAGCACTTAAATCTAGTATTCACCTAGGTGTAAGGTGTCAGGGCTTTTTGTTGCTTATTTGCAATAGAAAACATGATACCCTATTTTTCCGATGGAAATCAAGTTTCACTTTTATAGATGACATGGAGTTGCAAGGAACTTGAATTTGAAGGGGATCTGCCAGATATAAAGAAAAACAATTATGATTAGGGGCAGAAGAGTATCATCTAGAAGCAGAAAGTTTTCTGAATAGTTTTTGGCAACTAGATTATAAATCCATTTGGTGGAGGAGGAGATGGTAAATAAAAGATCAGGTGTCTTTGCATGGGTTGTTTTGAAATAGAATAATGCCCCAACGTAAGATGGCTACTAATTTCTTTCTGAAAGATTTTTTTTATACCTTTGAAAGTATTGAATGGTTTCCGATTTGTGGAAAAATATAAGTAAAAAGTCCTGCTTGTTGGTATGAAAAGTGGGTTTAAGGGAGGATAAAGACAGAAATTGAAAGCATCATAGTTAACCTTAAGACATTTAAAGATTTTTGGGTAGACTAAATATTCGTGAAAATATCTTGACTGAGCTGTAATTAATTTCTAATACCTGTGTTTGAATTCTGTATTTGTATCTCAAATTTGCTAAAATATGATGTAGTTCTCAAAACTGTAATAAGCTGAGATTATTTTTTTTTTCTCTGAAGGTACTAGTACGAAGAAGCAGTAGTACAGCTGAATTAGATTTGAAAGCAGACTTGCAGCAATCACATGGAAATTATAGAGAGAGAGAAAAAAGTGAGTTCCAAGAAATTAAGTATTTTTCTTTAAGTGCAGCAATTGAAATCAGTGTTGTAATTTTGTCTTGTTACACATATATTAGATGTTTTTCTCATGCTTTGCTAATGCAGTCTTTAAAAACAGGGTTTGTCATCTTTGTTAATCCCCTTCTTGCTTGAGGTGAAAGCGTTAGCAGTGACACATCCATTGGCTATAATAACGAAGTAGAGATAGCACTTATCCCCTGGCAAACTTCTGAAGACGACCATGAAGTTAATGCATCAGCAGATGTTTGTGTGGATCCTGATGCACCTCGCTGGCTTCAGCTTAGTCCTTCAGATACTGCAAATTTAACAGGTATTGTAGTACAGAAAATGTATTTACTGTTTTAGTTTATCTCAAAAGAGTTTATACGGTTTGGTTTGCTTATAAAAGTATGTTTCATTTGGCATATATCACCAAGTTTCATTCATAATTCATTCATCATTTCATTCAGAAATTATATTTGAATGCCAGCATTTAAAGAATTTGGATAATCAAATTGAAGCTGACATAAGTTCTGATAAATTGTGATCCAGAGAATGATCACACAGTTGAAAACAATTGGGTTTCTTATTGTGTCGAATCACTACTAATCAGCTGAGATGTGATAGCTGGTTACTTGTGTTCTCTTAGCCTGCCCAGTGTTCAAGTAAAATAAAATAATTTACATTTTAAGTTAATAGGTTTTATTTCATAGCAGAGTGGTCTAAAGAAATTCCTTTCTATATATGTTGACTGATAGGAAATAACTGGTTAATCCACAGTAACTTCTTCCATCTTAATCCTATTACCCTCCTTATTTATACTTAAAAGTACATAATGTCTGTACTCCAGTTGGATGTGGTAAGTGACATTCTCAGAATTTAATTTGGAAGTATTTTACCTTTTCGTTTTATTTATAGTGTTTTTAACATATACAACATTTATGATTATTTATTAAAATATTTTAATTCTTTGCACTTTGTAAAGGTACCTCCCTGTGTAATAATGTCAGAGATATTATTTCAGTAACTTAATGCAGTAAACTATCTTATATGATGGTTTTGCTAGTTTCAAAGATATTTTTTTCATATTCACTTTTTCTTTGAAATATCTCTAATTAAATTAACCAGCACACCTAGTTCAACAGTTCAGATTGCCATTGTACAAAATGTAGTAGAGTACATGGTAAGGATTATTGTGTTAGATAAATCCATTGCTTTCTTTATGTCTGTGATGCAAGACAGTGCTCCTTTGTGTGTACAAAGACAAAGAATTAGATAAAATAACCTGAAAGGTAGCATATGCTAAAAAGAAAAATGGGGTAACAAATCCATAACTGCCCAACAGGGCCAGCGTGCCCTTACTGCATTTCTGGTTCTCATGCAACTCTCAAAACTTTGTTTTGCTGTAGAAACCTCTATGGTGTAAGGCAAAAAAAATACTGTGATGCCACCACTGAACAGCATAGCTACAGTTTCCCTGATGATAGATTTGTTGAAGTTCTTAATAAATAACATCTGTTAATGTTCTTAATAAATAACATCTGTTTTAACACTTTGGGACTTCATAATGCTACAGCAAACACAGCAAAAAGGAAAAAAAAAAATAAAATCCCCAAAGCTTTTTAAAAAATAAATTCAAGCAAATATAAAACATCTAAATTTTGCTAACCTTCTTTGGGCCTGGGAGGGCACAAGTTATTTCCTTCTGCCTGGATAGAGGTTTCCTGCAACTTTCTTCAAAATGTTGGCTGTTGAGCACTTACTTCAAGGTGCCATGACAGACTATAGGTCTGATTCTGCCTGCAGACAGGTAGCGACACAGCTTTCCCTGGTCTGATAGAAGATAATGTAACAGCTCTTGTTAAAATTTGCACTTCAATATGAAATTTTTCTTTTACTGTTTAAACATATTACTTCCACTTTTCTGACAGGCTTCACAAAGACCTGCTTTCCTTCTTAGTTTGCATATTGCTATCTCAAGAGCTGCTTCTGTATAAATGATAATGCCTGAGCATATACTTCATCACTAGTAGTACATGCTTATTAATTCCTTTGGTTGCATTTCCAGGTCATTTTGTTGATTTTAAAAAAGAAAGAACTTTTAGCAATAGAAATATTACCTGTAAAAGCCAGTTATTGATTGCATAAATTTCTCAGAGTACATGAATGTTCTATTTAACAGCATTATCCTCCCTGGAAAAATAAAACAAACCCAAAACAAAAAAACCCAACAAAAAACTCAAAAAACCCCTAAATCACAAAACCTCAAGTGGAGGCCGTCTGTCTGATATAAAACTGATCTATAGCTGTGCCATTTTTATCTGGAAGGCCCTCTAGCCTACATTTTCTGCCATTTTTTCTGCGTCATGTGCTAGCCTGAGCAGTGAAAAAGAGAGATGATCTGGTGGGAGAGAATACTTTTGAGATGGAAGATGGTTAGAGGCAGTAATATTCCTATTTTATTGACCAAATTTATACTTATACTGCATTTCTGATTCATGGAAATTGAACTTTTAAAAATTTACAGACAGTAGTGAATTCCTTGCTGATGACTGCAGTATAATTGCCGGTGGAAGCCTGATTGGTTGGCATCCTGATTCTGCTGCTGTGTTGTGGAGGAGGATCTTGGGAATTCTTGGAGATGTGAACAATATACAATCACCAAAAATCCATGCAAAAGTTTTTGGGTATCTTTATGAGTTGTGGTATAAACTTGCAAAGGTATTGTATATGATGCTTATATCTAATTAATGATTCTTCTTTTTTTCTAAAAATTATTTTAAAGTTTGATTTAGTATTAGCATCTGGAACATAATAATGAGATTTTGAGAATTCTGTCATAAAGCTAGCTAACCTTGTTTGATTTCTAGTAGGTTTCTCCAATAGAGAACATTCCTGATCAATGAAAAGAGAAATTAGATTAGTTAATTTAAATGGGGTGAGGAAACAGTAGCAATAAAAATAGAGATATAGAATAGTGCAAACGTTGGTATTTGGTGTGAAAGCCCATGGTATGACCTAAAATGGTAATACTTGCTTAGGCTGTGGGAAAGCACTGTAAAACAAGCTTTTCTGGTAGTTTTGGCTTAAGTAGGAACTCTATATGGCACAGACTATAATGCCTTAAAGTAAATAAAACTGACAAGTAGGAACATGAAATAAAGAGATTAATAAGCTATCTGTTTTAATACCTATTTTCTTTTAAAAACATTAGATACGGGACAACCTTGCTATAAGTGTGGACAATCAGTCTACTCCCTCTCCTCCTGTCTTAATTCCACCTCTCAGAATATTTGCATCATGGTTGTTCAAAGTAAGTTATTTCCAAATTTTTCACATGTTAGTATTTTGTGATGAATTTGTGTATGTTTAGTTGCACTATTTTTAGTTTTTAGTCATGGCTGGCTAAGGTGATGAATATTCTCCAAAGGCTTTTTGGACTTGAATCCATTTTAATAAATACACAGAACAGATTTGCTTCATGGAAAACCTGCTGAAGATACAATTTGGCATTAGCTGGCTACTAGGAAAAGAAGTAATAATACAAGATTTTTGCTCTTTTCAGGCAACCACCCTGCCAAATGAATATAAGGAAGGCAAACTTCAGGCATACAGGCTGATCTGTGCTATGATGACTAGGCGTCAAGACGTTCTGCCAAATTCTGATTTCCTGGTTCATTTTTATTTTGTGATGCACCTTGGCTTAACAAGTGAAGATCAGGTACAACCTTTACTTGGTAAAAAAATTAATACTTTGTGCTGATGGAGGTGTCTGTATTTTCATATTTGAAGATCTGAAGCAGAAGGGAAGCAATACCTTGCAACAATTGTTGCATGAAATTATCCTGTGCAGCCTAGTCTGCACCTCTCTTCAGATTACATAGTCCTAACTTTCTCATTGCTCTTCCAGTTATGAACTTTTAAGCAACTACCTATTTGTGACTTATTGTCAAAACTGTGTCACAGACACTTGTTGATGTTTCTTTCTTGTTTTCCTTCTCTTTCTGAGGAATAATCTCAGTGATGAGTTTCTGTTCATCTGAATTGCACATTTAGTAGCTGTGTCAAGCTGGTCACATTAAAAATGTTCACTCAGTTGATATTAAGTCTTGAGCTACGTTATGTGTTTGACCAGTATGTTTAAACTTTGGTTCTGCTAAAGCAGGAGCCTTGTGCCCTACCACGTTCCTGCACAAATTGTTATGCTGTGAAGTCAGTACTTTCAGAGCAGCTGCTGGAGTTGGTCTGTTGTTTATATTATTTACAACTTCAGGGAGATAGAGGTTACTTCCAGCTCATGTTACTGATGTTTTTACCTTCTATCATGAGATAAAATGCTACACATGATCTTGGGCAAAGGAGGGGCTGTGAAGAGCTTTATGTTAATTTATAAGCAGTGTCTGCTCTCAGCTTGCCCCTTTGAGTGTCCTGTGCCGTTGGTTATAAGGACATCCTCAAAAATTGGAATTAATATTGTCCTCTCCAGGGTTGTTTTCCCCTTCAAGATTAGTCCTTCAGGGGATGTTTAAAACTGTTGTACCTGCTCTTTTTAGCTGATGCAAAGGGGACTGAAGGGAGAACTGAGATAGAAGGTTATCTTACTACTGTAACCAGGAGGTGCTGCCAAAACATTCTGTTTCTGTGAATAAATGTCTTTTGCTACTGTTTGCATGTATCAGTCAGCCTCAGTCCTGGTGTCCTGAGGTGGCCTAACTGGAGTACTCAGTGGGAGATGAGGAAAAGACAGAATCTGTTGAGATGTAAGAACATTATTGGGCCACAGAAATAGCTAAATACTCATAAAATCTGCAGGAAATACTATTTGGACAAAATAGAGAATATCTAAAAACTTTTCCATGTTTTTATAGCTGTAGGAGTGAGGTTTTTTCCCTTAAAAGAAATAGTCTAATGAAAGCAATGGCTAGAACTGTGCTGTGGATGCCAGCAGAGGGCACACAGTCCCCTTCACAAATCCTGTAGCGGTCACTTCTGCTGCTTCTGAGAGTTATTTCTGGGGCCTTTAATAAGCCAGCAAGAAGATATTTGCACAGGTTTGGTTATTTCTGAGATGAAAGAGAGAAATAATTAATTGTTACCAGATGCTTACCCTCTGAATATCTGCTCCCCTCCTGAAAAGTTAGAGCATTTAGAAAATCTTCCTTTTAAATAGATAGTGGGGGAAGAAAAAAGTCTAGAAAGGAAAAGTTTTTCTTCTGGAAAAAAAACTGAGTGTCCTGGCTGCTCCTGAAACTTTATAAAGCACAAATGGAGAAAAATAAAAGTGTAGTGAGAACTCCCATTTTAGTCACTCTCAGTGTCATCTGAGAGTAATGAAGAGCTCATTACACTTTCATTTCACTAATGCCGTTCAGATTTCAGACAGTTTAACACTGCTCAGTGTACAGAGTAACTTCATTCCCCTACAAAAAAAGATTTTGTGGTAACACCCACTATGATCAGCCCCTCTGAATTTTAAAAGCCACACAGCATTAAATCCTCTCAAATAAACCACACAACTCAAGAAACTTTAAAGCCTGATGTAGATCAGATTTTTAAAAAAACTCCTCCGTTTTACATATTAAAATCTAAGACCCTTGAATCAGTATAGCAGCTACTGCTAACACTGAGCCATAGCAATGGAAAATGTCAGTAATTTTAAGACTTAAGTTGTTTTCATCTACACATTTCCATGAAATGGCCAGATTGTCAGAGGTGTTCAGCTGTTAGCTTTTTTCTAAGCTAAAAGATGCCAGAAGATTTTTTTTTAAATCTCACCACTTCCTTGTGAATCAATTCCTACATAGAAACTTAGAGATTTTTAAATCGTGGAGTTGGTGGTTGTTAAGCTGGTTTTTACCCTGCTTATTGCATTTTGCTGTTAATAAGTTCCATGGATTTTCAGTTTCTTCATGGTGTGCACACTGGATTTCAGCCCTTGTGTAGAGTTACAGTCCAGAAGTTAAAGATGATGAAAGACTGCGTAGCGAAGGCAGACCCCACGTTGCACATCGTTCCAGGGTTTCCCAGATATTTTGCACACTGCTGCTGCTCTTTTGTTCTTCCTTGTCTCACTGGTTTTGCTTTTTTGGCCTCTTGGTGGCACACTCGACTACAGATTTTCTGTTTTGTCCTTCTAGTTTTGTTTTCCTTCGCTATGAAACTGGTTGAGGCATTAACTCATGATGCTTTGGAGCCTGGATTCTCATGCAACGTGTTGATATGAAGCACGATCCTTATACCTATTTCTGTCTGTCCTGTGTAATGAGCTTCAAAGTGCTTGATGGGTGTTGAGACTAATCAGACAACTTGCATGCTGAAGGTAACTACACATGCAGGAACACATTTTGTGAGGCAGAAGTACCTCCTCTGATACATGCAAACAGTAGCAAAGCATAAAGTGAAGCACTTTGCTGTCATAGGCTCTCACAGCTTTCTGTAAGAAACAGGATGATGTAACGTGACATGATACCGGTACTGATTTTGTGATTTTTGTACATCTCAGTGATTTTTGGTGTATGCTGTTACCTGATAAACTACTTACAAAAGAGGGTGCAATATCAAGGAGCACAAGGACCACGTTCATCCTGGTTCTTTGTAGCACTGCAGAATCTCCACCTGCCAAAGCATTGTTTCTAGGGTTCAAGTTATTGCTTACCAAAATAGACTTTGGTGCAGATTTTTTTTTTTTAGCAGAGATTGTTTCTGTTTGCTAAGCACAAGCATAAATTTCTCTCTTTTAAGGAACATTAACAGAAGAAAGGTGGAGGGGGGTGAGTCTTATGGGGGAATTTTCCTTCTGTATGTATGACTAGTGCAACTTTCAAATTTATGGAGGAAAGCAACAGAAAGGTAGCCTAACTCCAGGAAATCACATTGGCTACTTCAGAAGAGCTCTTTAGGTGGAACTTAAAAAAAAATTAGTCAGAAACTTCTTTAATCCGAATGTGATTATCAATATTTTAGTTAGCATCAGAAATGTTTCTTTTTGAAATATATTTCTCTTTTCACTTCTCCCTTAAGGATATGAATATACAAATTTTCTGCTGTATTTTGTAGATTTTGGTCTTGATAGAAAAACAAAATAATTCATTTCTGAGTATGGTTATAAATTAATACAATATCATTCTCAGCAAATACAACCTAACTTCGCAGACTTGTCTCCTGGGGTATATAAAAGAGCAATGTAAGGGTATATTTTATGGAAAGCTCCCATGATACTCTGAGTTCAAGATGTAGCAATTAGCTTAGCTGATGAGAAAGGAGATAGCGAGGTAATGAGCTGCATCTAATTTGTCCATGTGGAAGTGTCTAACAACAAACATCTCTGAAGAAGTGAACAATTCTCTGCAACAATTGCATCACTTTTTCAGGTGGGAGAAGTCATTGAAGAAACAGCAGTACAGAGTAAGTTGCAGTCTGGCGTTATAATTACTTCCAGCTTGCAAAGGGGCCTGAGGTCAGGGGGCAAGTGACCGTCTGCAGGATGATGGTTCTCCTCTGTTACTGCTCAAGTCATTGAGCATTATTCTGATGCTGTAGTGAGCCCAGATTTTTTTCTACAGTTTTTTATGCATGAAGTTCACTAAGACTCACCACCTCTCCTTCTCTCCCTCCAATGTAAAGGAAAGTGAATTTGGACATTCACTACCACATCTTGGGTTAGTGGAGATACTCCACCTACAGTTGCTCTGATTCCTTGTCCAGATTATGGAAAATCATGAAATGTTCTTGGGGTGTGATTTTTTTTTTTATTTATTTTTTTTGTTTGTTTGTTTGTTTGGTTTTTCTTGTTTAGGAGATGTCATGGGATCGCCCGTTGCAGTTAGGGTAGGCATAGCTGCCTTATGCAGCTAGGTGAGACTGGTTGAAAAAAAACAAACCAACATTCTGGTGATTGCAACTATACATGTCTTTTGATTTGGACAATAAATACAGCTTTTTAAATTAAACTAAAGTCTAATACTGCAGTGCACAAATTTTACATATACCTGAACTGGGAAAGGAAATGTATTTTATTATTGCTACTGATTCCTTACTGTAGCAGTAATTTTTGCTTCATGAATGTGAAAAGGTACATAAACATCTCCTTGCTTCATAGCTGCTTTGTTTTTGCTGAAGAACAAAAGTACCAAAACATGATTGCAAAATACTACTTACACTATTCAGCCCCCTTCTCAGAAAAGCAAGTATTGAGATAATTCTGACTCTTTGATTCTGGTACTTTTGATATTTAAATCTAGATTACTAGTGTGTTTCTCCTAAAACTTCTGTGGATTTTTGTGACACTGTCTTATTTCTGTCTAGATTTGCACTTAGTTTGAGAAGAGCATGCAGTGCAAGTTAGATGCTTATCTTGTAGTTATGCTGTAAAAGAAGAGGCAAGTTTTAAATACTTTTAAGTTCAACCCCCCCAGCTATTTAGTGTCAGTTTTTTAGGAAGTCTCACCCTACTACCAGAGCTTTAGCATCAGTTAATGTGCTTGGTGTAACCTACTGACAACATGTGCCACTGGTTTTGCCCAGTAGTCAGAGGTTATCTGAAAAGACAGCTAACAGATTAATGTTAATGGCCTGTTTCTGGCCTTGGTGACTGTGGAGGCGAGGTGGAATTGCTCACGGCTTTTGACAAACAAGTTTAGTAAATGTACAATTATACTGGCTTGCCAGAGTATTTTTGCATTAGAGTGCTTATAGATATAAATAAAAGAAGATATTAAGGAA